CCCAGAGGGTCCAGATACATCACAATGATGGAATTAGGGGCAATAGGTCCTAGACATGGCATTAGTCTCAGAGAATGGTCTTGCAATCATAAAACCATGCAGGGCAATATTTGTGACTTCAGGGGATGATTTGTGGGATTCGCACCTTTGTCGCCGCACGCCTCAATTCAGCCAGCAAGCTAGGCCGTTCAAGCCGTCTGTCTCCTCTATTCTCTTTATATAGTTGGAATAGGATTATGGGAGTTCCTGGTTTTATTTATAGTAAAATAGACCCTAGACCCCAAACCCAAAGCCTCAAACCCTAGACCATAAACCCTAAACCCTAAACCAAAAACCCTCAAACCCTACACCCTAAACCCTAAACCCCATACCCTAAGCCCTAATTCCAAAAGGCAAAACCTACTAAACAGTCCGCGATAGGCTGCTGGGATGTAGTTTTTTTATAGTTTTTTAGTTGTGCACGCCATGCTCCGCAATGCTGTCCGCATGCGAAAGCGGAAGCTCGAGGAGACGACCGCAGGTGTGCCCATCCCCACTGCTCTTCAGGGTTTAGGGTTGAGGCCTTTAGGGCTTTAGGGTCTAGGGTTCAGGGTTTAGGGCTTTAGGGCTTTTGGGTTTAGGGTCTAGGGTTTAGGCCTTTAGGGCTTTAGGGCTTTAGGGTTTAGGGTTTAGGGTTCAGGGCCTTAGGCTTTAGGGTTTAGGCTGTAGGACTTTAGGGTTTAGGGCTGTAGGGCTTATCCGTTGTCGATTCTTGAAAGTGCGATGCTTGCAGCATTTTGCTTGCAAGGCTGTTTGAGTTATAGGAGATAGTTTTGTGTTTTTGCGGTCGCCATGGAAGCTCAGCCCGAGACCACTCCCGAGTCCAGTGGTCGAGTTGTTGATCGCCACATGAAATATTTCCTTACAGTCCCTCATCTTGCAAGTAGCATCCTTTTCCATTCGTGTCCATATAAATTAAGATTCAAGCTTGACAAAACGGCTCGAATTGCATCCGAAGCTTCCCAGGAAGCTGCTGAGAGAATCGCCGAAGGCATGAAGCCCTACTTGATGGACCAGGTGTGCAAGTACCGGGAGGAGCAGGACTTATAAGTATAAAAATCCCAGAATTTAGCTCTAATAATTATATATAATTGGGTTTAGGGGTTAGGGCTTTGGGGTTTAGGGTTTAGGCGCCCCTACACCCGAAATCCCTAAACCCTAAGCCTAAAGCCAACAACCGAGAGGTTGGTACATCACCTGGTTTAGGGTTTAGGGTTTAGGGTTAAATCCCCAGGAAAAACAGCAGCACTCCTCCGATGCCTCCTTATGCTTACAGCCAGACAGCTTCAGCTTTGTCGATTACGGGGAGTCCAGCAAAGTCTCCGAGAGAGACCTCGAGCTGAATTACTCGTTCTTGGTGCACTACGTGCCGATGATCCTCTCTCCGGACTGGGATGTGCCAAATTTGGGTGACCATCAGGCCATAAGAAGCTTCGGGTTGCCACCTTTAAATTCGGAATTTTAGCATTTCGGGTGTTCAAACCGCGAGTTTGGGCCCTCGGATTCTTGCCGAAACTGCCGTGGCAGGTGGCCTACCTGCACATAGGCTGCGACTTCCTGTGGACTTTCTGGCCGGAGAGTGTGAAGAAGAGGGGCGGCAAGAAGGTTTTGCGGGACCGTTCGTTGGGATTAATTTTAGGGTCCAGCTTGTATGGTATACCCTAAATTAAATAGAATATATATTATATTATATCATCATTTAGAATAAATACAAATATAGGCCTAAACCCTTAACTTCAGAGCCTAAAGCGCCTAAACCCTGAGATAGGAAAAGAAACACCTCGACACCCAACCAATGGCAGGACTGGGCAAAATCTGAAGGCGGCCGGGTGAAGCAGCTCCTTTCGCATCTGCTCCGGCTCTCGCGACGAACTGCTGATGCAAAGCAACCAGGCTAAACAAACCCCCTTTTACAAAACACAAACCCACAAACCTATACTTTAAAGTAGTGCAACTCTCGCACCACACCCTGAGCACTAGGCTAAACACTAGATGTTGTACAACAAGACTAGTACCATTGTCTCGGGGATCGGGGTTCACAGTAGGTCTTTGGGATTATAGTTTGGGGCTTACGGTCTAGGGTTTAGGGCTTAAGGGTTTAGCTATTAGCTTCATGCTTTTAGGGTTCAGGGCATTACATGGATAAATGCCCTCGGCGGCCCATCGCTCAGGTCGACGAAGGTCCAGGTCCTCAAGAAGCTTGTCTATGTATGCATGGGCTGGGAAGATGAAGATCCGGACCGGGAGGGTTTAGGTTTCTATATATATATATATATGTTTCAAAAGCTGTGGTTTCAGGTCTGGATATATAGATAGGTCAGGCTTTCTATCTTTAATCCCTGGGCCCTAATTTCGGCTTTCTTTAAACCCTGGGCCCTAATTTCTTAAATCTCGCAGGAGGCTTCCAAGGGCTTCGCAAGCGAGTCGCAGAGCTTGCCAGATGATTCGGAGGGCTTGCCAGATGATTCGCAGGGCATGCCAGATGATTCGCAGGGCTTGCCAGATGATTCCCAGGGCTTGCCAGATGATTCCCAGGGCTTGCCAGATGATTCGCAGGGCTTGCCAGATGATTCGCAGGAGGCCCGGGAACATCATAAGTAGCTTTTCTAGCTATAGGTTTGATGGGTCGGTTACCCTGTAATAATAATTTATAAGCTTCGGGGAAGTAGTATGGGGGGCTTGATTTGCCTCGAGTCCAATTCGCTTCAACATATAATTAGATATTATACAATGGATTAGGTTAGCTCATGTGTTTTTGGTGATTTGGGGTGTGGACTTCCGGTCCCGGCTTAAAATTTATTGTTATATTCTTGATAGGAACGAATTCATTAAAAAAAAA